TCTAGCAAAATTTAATCAAATAGCTCCAAATATCAAAATTATTGATAAGTACTCACTTCACCTCCTAGGTTCACCAATATTCGATGAATGTTTTCCTAAATTCATCGAGGACAAGATACAAAATTTCAATCACATTTCGGATAGATTACACAAAATCAACACACATTCGGCTTTCACCCTAATTCGGTACTGTTGTTTTGGACCAAAATTTACTTATATTCTCCGCGCTTCACATCTATGGAAACATTCACACATTTTAGAAAACGTAGACAAAATTATCAGACACACATTGTCATCCATACTTAATGTGGCTTTGGATGACCGAGCTTGGCAACAAGCTACTCTTCCTATTCGCATGGGAGGGCTCGGCGTCCGCAAAATTTCAAGTATTAGTTTACCAGCTTTTCTGTCTTCGGTCCACAGTACCTCTGAATTGGTCAGGAAAATTCTTTCTTCGTCACTGACCAGTTTTGAGGTGCCGTGTTTGACTGATGCAGTGGAAGCGTGGAAAATGGCTTGCCCACTTACGGATTTACCTGTTCATCCATCTTCTCAGAGACAGTGGGACGTGCCGCTGTGCAGTGTTATTCGTGAGTCTTTAATCAACTCGTCTCCTAATACTGCAGAGCGAGCTCGCTTATTGGCTGTGGGAGAATGGGAATCAGGATTGTGGCTTCAGGCACTCCCGTCACCCTTCATAGGTACTATGTTGGATGACATAACGTTCCGCCTAGCTGTATGCCTACGTTTAGGTGCTCCTTGTGTTTCTCCGCATTATTGTCACTGTGGAGAAAGAGTCGATGGCTTGGGACACCATGGTCTTTCTTGTTGCAGAAGTGCAGGCCGCATAGCTCGCCATGCCAGCATCAACGACATCATTCGTCGTGCTCTTGCCTCAGCCGGTGTACCAGCCGTATTAGAACCTAATGGTTTGGTACGTGATGACGGCAAAAGACCAGATGGTATGTCGTTGCTGCCTTGGAAGATGGGTAGGCCTTTGGTGTGGGACGCGACGTGTGTAGACACCCTTGCGCCATCACATCTTTTAAGCACCGCTGCATGCGTTGGTGCGGCTGCTTCC